AAAGTACAGATCGCCATCTTAGTCCTTCTCCTTTTGGGCAGCCTGTTTTGGCCCTGAGATTTTAGCAGCCTCTCCCGAGCGGTCCTACCCAACGCTGCCGTATTGGGGGCTCCCTCAGGTTCAGGGGAATGAGGCCCATTTCTATTACTGTTTTTGGCGTGAAGATACCCAACGTGCAGCTTGCCAGGCTCTGACGTGGGGGCTATTGACTCCGGGGGCTTGCCAGGCTATCCCGAAGTGGACAAGGGGCTTTGTTTTTGGAGGCGGCCCCGAATCGCCTCCCAGATACTTCCCAGTGTGACTTGATCGTCACTCGAATGCAAGCTTTTGGCCGAGTCGATGGGCAGGATACCAACTGCACCCACAGACTCTCCACACACGTATGCGTGGATCGCCAGCGAGGAACAGAGGGTATATCGACCCAGCATAGCAGAATCAAGGAGTCCATCCCCTGAATCCACCTGCGTCTCTGGGCAAGTACCGGTGACTTTTGGTCGGCGATTAATTCCCCTATCCGCCACCTGGGGACGCCCTACGTAGCCTCGTCACTAACCGGCTGGGGATCCTTCAGTGAGAGAGAACCCTCAGTGAAAGGAGATCCGTAGAGTGAAAGGAGAGCCGATTATATAAGTAGGATAATCCCTCAAATCAAAATCAGGCACGTCTTTGTTACCATTTCCCGCCATGGAGGCACTGTATCTCTACCGACTATTGGTGTATCTCGTGCCATGTGAACGCTATCGAATTCTTGAAGGGTGCTGCTATTGTTTTATTTGTATACACGCTACATAACAAACCCAGAACCAATCTAATGCAGGTATAAGACGTTCATGAGAATGTGCTCCGCGATGTATTTTCACGGTCACCAGCTTTCAATGATACTCTGATCATCCGTTTACAGTGTCATTTCAGAGCCTTTTCGTAATAGCGACGAGTTCTAAATGGTTGTGCCAACCCAGATTCAGGGTGATTCGAATCGAAAAAAAACTAATGATACGGTAATTCTATGTAGAATGGCAATTTTTCCCTGTTCTCCTTCAAAACTGTATTTACCTTCTGTCAGTTTACGTGTTTAGGAGTCTCTGTGGCATGCGTCGGCTTCCTCGAAAAATGTCGTGTTGTATGTATTGGTTGATTCTCGTTCGATGGAATCATGGAATCATGTCAGTATCCTTAACGGAGACTCCTATCATGTGAGTCTTCTCTAATCGTATTGAGGTTCTAACTGAAGTGCTCTATTTTCTCTTATGATGCTTTTCAAAATAAATTAAACAAGCTTAGCCCGATTGGTAACATTGGGGCTATCTGGCTCAGAGATCCTTTGATCTATTCGTGCAGCGCAGCTGCACAGTTCATTGCTCTTTTAGAGCCAGACATGACCCACGCATTACTCATGGTTCTCCTTGCGTATGGGTGATTTCAAATTGCTTCAATAGATTTGCTATCGCCTACTGATCGATTCTATACGAAGACGTTACATCCACTGGTCCTACTTGAGTATTGTCTAGATTTGGATTTGCTACCTCCTTTGGTTTAGAGTACTGGGGATGTCGTTGGCGCAGTAAAAAACTAACGAGGAAACAAATTCTTTATTGGTTATTGGTGTCTTTTGATATTCAGCTGTACGATTACATTTGTAAATTCATGAATCAGATATAAATTCAAAAATGACAAGAGAAATAGCTTATACTGTTACAGCTCCGAAGGCTAAAGAATTAAATTCGATAGGCTTACTTAACGTGGAATTTTCGAGAGTGAGAGCAGAAGGCGGAAGCTGTTACAATCGATAGAAAAGGAATGAAAGAAGAAATGGATATGTGCAACATTGGGGCTGAAAGACTAGTAGCATAAGGATAGGCACTAGTATCGGGACGGCCTGTACGGATCAGGTCGGCGCTCTCCTGACGCAGAAGAAGTGTAGTAGCGGTCCTCGGCAGTGTAGATGACGTTATTGGTATCGGAAAAATGACGTGAAGGAGGCGAGTCGTCAACACGGATAGGGTGCGAAATCACCTCAGATCTTGGAGTAGGTGGAGGCATTGCGGCAGCAGACGACGCTAAACTGAAGCCCAACTGATTTCAGAGGCGCTCTAAATTCATTCGGACACACCTTGCGTCTGAGTACCGATGATTGTTTCGGATCTCGCGTTAGCCTTGCGCTGACGACGTTGACGCAAACCGAACCAACCAAGGAACCAGATGCCAGCCAGACAGACGCATGGAATGCAGCAGCAAAGCAGCAACATTGAAATGCCCAGGATGATTCCCAGAATGCGGCCAGCATACCAGAAGTCACCATCACTGGAAAAAAATTGAATCATTAAACATTCTTCCTCGTTTATTAGTACAAGAAGTCGGTTTCTAGGTATGTTCCACGATAGCTGTGGTATAGGAGTCGATCACTCACTAGTTCAATGGGAACTCCAGGTTCGTCTAGATTTCAACTTTAGCAGAAGTCCTCCAATCTGATGTGGTCCTTTTGATGTTTTGATTGCAAAGAGCCGTTGTTGCTCAACAACCTTTAGTATCTTTTGCCTTTGAGCGAGCGAACGCAAATTGATACAAGTCATAGCAAAACCAGATTATCATAGAGCAAATCAGAATACGCTTTCCTCTGGTACATTTGGTGCTTAACATTCATAATTAGAAGCACAGGATCGGGGAAGGTTCATTAACATCTAGACTGCTCCGGAACTGGAGGAGTCTTGATATTAATTAACCTTCCTCGATCCTGTGCTTATAATTATATCCTGTTCCCATATCCTCCCTTCTTCAAAAATGGATTTTGTCGCAGAGCCCACTTCCACTTTATATCCCTTTTCATCCATTTGTCTTTTGTTTATTTCTTCAGCTTTTCCGCAGTTGGAGTTTTCCTACGTTTAACGAGGCTTGAATGTTGACCGAGGTAGGTTTACGACTCCTTCCTTCACCGGGCGAATACGAGTTGTCCTCTCACGCACGCCTTTCCCCTCCACCCTCTTCCCCTTGTTTGGTCGAGGATTCCTTGAGAGACGATTGACCCTGGTTGTAGCGTACCTATAGTTTGGTTGCCAGAATGGGGTTTTTTGAGATACCTCACATTCCTAGTGGAAACCTACTGCTTGCATGATTTTACATCGGTAAGTGTAAAGAGCCACATCTCCAACCCATTACAGCATTTAGTTCGAACATTCAGAGACATGAAAGCTGTTAGCCGAGTTAGAATTCAGAAGCTTCACTGTAACTTTTCACGTATAGACAGACTTACACTCCATAACCGTAGTCGTAGCCGTAGTAGCTCCTCTTCGCTCGGTTGACCTCGTCAGCAAGTACCATGATCAGCAAGGTAGCCAATATTTGGATTAGGAGAATCGTTCGCATCTGAAAGATTAGCCGATATGGGAACATTAGAATGTTAGCCAAAAATGACCCGTTGACTTTCCACATTCGGTGTGGAGTCAGCACTAAAAAAAGTGAGGCAAACACTCAGATGATCGATTGGTTACGGTCGGGAAGGTATAGGGGGAAATGAGCGTAAACACGAGAAATACCCTTGTCAGAAGAGGTATTACTCATCCTAGAAGGCGACGAGGTAGTAGCCTTCAATAGAACTGTTACTTGGCAAAATTATTATCTACGAAATAGGCGATAAGCTATATTTTTCTCCGAACGTCCTGTCGAATTCACGATACCCTCTTGACTAGCCTGATCTTGAGATATTTCAAGGAATCCATTCAAGTAGAAGTTTGCAAGTATTTCAGAAACTAAAGTCGAAAACAAACGATCATAGGTGAACTAAAAAGCAGCAGTCACTCGGAGAACATTACTACTAGGGGCAATCTTCGAAAGAGAAGGGGCTTCCAAAAAAGAGTAGTAAAGAAATGGAATCCTGTTCAGAACGGAAGCGGTCCCTAGACTGAAGCTTTACTCTCAGGAGTAGGATTTATAACAGCTGCAGTGAGCGCTTAGAAAGGACTTGTTGCAGAATGAGTATGAAATATACATATTGATAAACTAGTAAGTAACAAGTTTGAAATAGCCTAATAGCAAAAAAAATTTGTTCTTTTTGACCTGGGGTTTTGTTAACTGTTGTAGTGTCGTCATAGTGCGCAATACGACAGGCTGGCAAGTTTGGCGAGTTGTGAGCAACTTCGATCTTGGACGAGACTCGAACTTGTACTTGCGCTTTCCGAGAAGTACGGATTCGAGTCACGTCCACCGCAGAGGTTTTTGCCATAACTCCCCAACGTTGCAGGAATTCCGTTTGTGTCATAGTTTATTTGCAGTGAAGCATACCATAAAATTTAGCGTGGTACGGAAGTTGTAAGCATGGTCAACTACAGTTCAAGATGAAAAGCAGATTGGAAGGGTCTCTATGATTTCACCAAATACGCGCAAAGACGGAACGATTGGCGGGCGTGTGCAAAGCTTCACCGTTTCGGAAAGTAAGGAATTGAGAGCACCAAAGCAGCTCTGTGAGCTCAGGTGTGTAATAGGTCTAGTGGATAGCTTAGGGAGTTTTGGAAAAACTTCCCAAACGAGAAAAGTATGTTTCATCGAAAAGTTGACTTGGTAACAACTTATGGTGTAAAGGTCTGCAGTGAATTCTTGAAAAGTTAGATTAGAAAAAGACAGGAAATCGATTAGATAAACGAAGGAAGGCTGTCTTTAAAAGCAACAAGGACAGCATAGCCTGCCAGGCGAAGAAACGGCTCCGCACCATAAGTCTCTCACAGCAGATATAGCCATAGATCTTTTCAAGAAAACAAGGGTCAGAGCGGAGCAGAGAATTCGATAATGGGAGCAGCTTAGCTGAAGAAGTTTCCAAAAGAATATTGAATTCTGGATTCTGGTCTGTCGGATACCCAAAGACTGATCAAGCACACTTGGAGGCGCACTATGTAAGTCCATCCCACGTGAGTTATTCGCAATAACTGAACTCACAAACTTAGCTGAATCGGAACTAAAAGTTCCTAAAACGTCGCAGCTTATTCAACTGTTTGGCAGGGTAAATATAAGAAAAATCGTTTCTAATACAATCTACAGAGCTACCAATGTACGACATGATTGGCCTACTCTACGAGCGGCTTAGGTAATCTATTCATGCTAGTGAGTACTAAACAGAACCTTCTGGGAAAGGACTTTGTTACACAAGTAAAGATAGAACGTAACTAAAGTGTACTGTAGTATTGACATTTTTGAGTGCCAACGGCCGATGTTCAGACCTCCTGCTGAAGTTAGACGAGGTGGGTAAAAAGATAAGGTGTGCCTCGTTTCGTTCTCGCTTCGCTGCTTTCCCTTTTATTGCGGTAAACATGATTGCCTATGTAAAAACGATGATTCAGCCATTTTAACGATGCGGAAAAATTAGTTGCAACATGACTGATGAACTACGGGAGGGAAGTATGGGGACGTGTAGGGTAACTGTCTACAAAGTCTCATCTTGATTGGTATCTAGAAGTTGGTTATAAGCAACTAAATATAATTTTTTTCTTGGAAAGGAACTTTTCTGGTCGCTTTTTAGAGAAGAATGCTTCTCGGAGCGGGATTTCCCTCCATTGAGATTCAGTGTTTTGGTTTACTTTCGTAAGAAGCAACCACTAATTTATGTGCTCGGAATGGTTACAGTGGTAAATCAAAATTTTGAATACTAGCTAGAACATTCAGCAGAGCTTTTCCAAAAAGCCGCTTTTTTTCAAGTTTCTTCCGCTTTGTAGTGACCCCACAGTTCATTTCATGTCAGCTACTTGTTGGTTGGATTTTCCAGTTTCACCAATCAATTATAGCAAAGAAAGAATATAGAAAGTAGTCAGCGTCTCGATTACAGATGAGCGTTCTTCTCTGTAGTGTGCCCTTCAATTCCAATATCATGGAGAAACCTCCACCCTTTATTACTTTGCATTTTTGGATTTTTTCTTTTGCTTTTTTCCATTTTCAACCCTATTTTCTCCACTGCACGGTCTTTTAAATACTCATCGCAGCTTACCGAGAGCAGGGATGCGCGTACAACTTCTTCCGGCAACGGAGATCATGGGATGACTACTGCTTGTAGGTCTGCTATCTTGCTAATTGAATGGCTTTCTCTCTTTTCACTCAATGTTGTGTGTGATTAAGTGAATTGGACATTGCCATCCAAAATTTGATGTCCGTCATTGAAGGACAAAATCCTGGAAATGGAAAACGATGGAGTCGATTATGCACTGCAGCTACGCAATTTGGTTTGGTAACGAAATGAAGGGAGAGCCGCGTGTTGGTACTATTCTTTATATGTATCCAGTTCACTCATTCGCACACAACATGTAGTGAAAAGGAAAAGGGCGAAAGGCCAGATCAAGTCCAGTCACAATGCCATTGCCAGTAACAGCCGGGCTCCCAGCCCAGGATTCGAAAGACCGTCCAGTGGAGTATGGAAACAAATATGCCATATGAGTATCGTTGAATGGCATTCGTTCTGGGGTTTTAGGATTCCGAAACTGTACATTGCAGTCATGTTATTTAGTGAGAAAGAAAAAGAAATGGTGGTCTTTGACCCAAAGTAAGTCATGTATTGGTATTTAGGGCCATCATAAAGAGGAAATGCTCATCTATAATCGGATCGGCCACAGAGCTCCTGCAGAGCACTAACCGTGGTCTGAGACTGTTCATCGATGTCATCGATCGCTCGAATAGGTGAGTTATCCAAACGAATGAGATTTTGCAGAGAGTGTGGTATTGGATACCTTGCGAATCTAACCATTCCAAAAGGGAGCTTTTTTAAATTTCATCTAAATGACCATTTTGTAGGACCTGGTGAGCTGAGTTCAATGGTGCATCGAATTGAGAAAGAAAAAATTTCGGCTTAGAGCTGAAAACGAAAGGAGGTGTATTACCATGAATTCAAGAGTTGTTTCAGCGAATCCGCACAAGGGCTACAATGTATAACTCTGGCACAGTTCTAAAAAGAAAGCTCTTCCTCTGCGAGTGGATTTATATACATTAAATTCTCATGTTTGGTAGCCATCTTTGGCCTCTGCAGGTAGGTCATTACTCTTTGCATGCAATGTGTTTCATTTTAAAGAATGGGAGTAGGAAATGGAGTAGGTTCAACTCTTTGCTTGACAATCTTGATTATCACTAGACGTCGCCAGGCTCGTTAATGAGGCTGTGGCTCGACATTTCATTGTTGTGGTTTCTTTTAATGTGCCTCAACCTGAAACTTACAAGATGGAAAGGTGAAGAAAGAAGGAGAAAGACATTGCAGATGTCATGAGATTTGGGATAGACAGTTCCTTGGTATTGGACCGATTTTATGACTTTTACCTGTTGGAGAGTTTGGACTGGTTCATTCATAGCAAAGCCATAGCATGCCCCAGCTCGTTTATCTTCGACAAAATCTCTATTCCACTGAACACTTGTATATGTAATAATTAATGGCGGAAAGTTAAAGATAATGAGATCCGGTGAGTTGTGCGAAAGTGGTTTTGATCCTCCAGGAGTTTCAAAAAAGGGATTGTCTTTTTTTTTTTTTTGACGCAACATTTCACAGTTAGGAGTCTAATGGTTTGCGCACCAGCAATCTGATCTGAACATTCCCGTCGTCCATGACTTTTCATGGCCTAGTCATTTCATAGACTACGGGTTTTTAGGATATGGAAGACATTTGTTCAGAGAAGGTTTTGAAATAGGAAAAAATCAGAAAAAACTTGTAACTAAGACAAGATTGTTACAGCGTTAACTTCGTTTTGAAGGATGCCTGAAATTTCTGCTACCGATGTCCTATCAAGGCTGTATAAGTCTGAACCAACTGATTTCGTATAAATTCGAAAACTAGGAAAGTTATGGTAATCCACGAAGTTGGAACTTCTTTTCAGTGAATAGAACACGTTTTCGGAATTGGTGATCATATTTTAGTCATAAAGGCAAAAATACTGTCAGGATGGGAACAAAATAAATTGCCGAAATTCGAAGCAAATATTTCGGAAAAAGGCAGTAACAGCGGGTGTCTGAAGGGAGCGACGGACTGTTGAATTGTTGAAAATCAGTCATCTCGCTGCACTTCAACCTTTTTCATTTTTTCACTTCACCTTTCTGTCTGAAACTATCAGGATTCGAAGAGGCCAAACTTGATGTAGAAAAAGGAAATATTTAGCATCAGAAGACAAGAAAACCTATTGCTGATAATCGTCTCTCGATGGTCTAATGGGTAGGAAGTGATGACCTGACGTAATGGCACATAGGGGTAGAGATCTTCAACAGGTTCGATGACTGTGTCCAAGATTGGGTCCAGCAAGATGGAGTGGTATGGTGAACTGTCGTTCCATGTGTAGTGAGCATTTTCATGGCTGAACGTCAGTGCTGATCCGGTTGGTGGCGATGAGTTTTCCATTTCAAGTGCACTTGACGACGTCCAGCAACAGCCGTGCTCCGCCACCGGTGACATCTACACCGGAATTGCTATGGAATTTTCAATATCGCCTATACTACGGTACCACTCTTGGGCACAATCAGGAAGTGTATTTGTACAAGCATGGCAGGGCACGCGCATCGAACCTACAACAGCAATTCCGACGTAGATGACTTGAATACGTGCATTGGAGCGCCACTATCGGCCAGCACGTGAACAACGCAGGCATCATACATATTGAAGTTCACCTTAGATATCCCAGTGGAACAGCCGATGACCAGAGCTAAATAAGGAACCTTCAAATAGTTGTACGGGCAACAATGATGTATGGTTTATAAAAAGACGGTTACACCAAGGTTTTGTGGCTTTGTAGTACGGAAGATGCTTTATTATTTCAAGCTGACCTTTTTCGTTGGAGTACTGTTGCTGAGACGGGTTTGTTTTGTTCCACAGCACTGTGTTGTGTACTCCGAACACTACCGAGACCTCGCCTCGGCTTCTCAGCTTTCGGTAGTGTGCAGGATGAAGAGCACAATGCTCGTAAACCAAAAGCGAGAATCGAATTCCGTGTGATGCTGAAGTTTTCCCTACTACCCAGCAACGCTGTGGTATTTCATCGTATTTCGAGCTTGCTGAGTGTGTTTAGTACTGCAGCTTGCATAACTGTAAGTTCTTCTGCTTGGATAGTTGTCGAAAAAGTGGCATTTTTGGCGTTTTGGACCCTATTTTCTTTATATTACTGAGAAACAAATAGAAATCGTTTCTTCGAATAAGTTGCAGTGACTCTACCCTCTATTATAGGACGAGGACTTTGACATGAATGAAAATAGAAGTCACTCTTAACAGATCTGCTATAACGCTTTCTAATGTTCGAGCTGAATAGCTTTTTGTTGTTTGTTAACGCTTACGACATTATTCATCTTATTGCAAAAAGCTATCTCTCTTCGCTGTGTGATCATTTCTTCAATAGATGGAAAGAGAACTCTTATTTACAACCTTCAGTTCTGCATTTCGCTGTTATTCCGTTAGACATTCCATTCACTTTCTAAAACGCATTAAAAAGAGTAACCCGTCATTCTCGACAGGAGTACAGAAAATTTTGGAATGGAAGGATACGCATGAAATATTCTTCAATCGAGTTCCAACGACGAGGGCAGTTCATGACTTCATGGGAATTCTGTATCTCGTCAGCGGTAATTTTATCATGGCGTAGACTTTTGATTAGCAGCTTTTGAAAGTTTTCCCCTCTGCCTTTCGCAAACCGTAAATAATACAGTGAATTGTTATACTGTGATAGAACGTCAGAGTCATTTATATATTACCCTCGTATGAATGGGCTATTTATGTGCCCCTATCAAGTTAGACCGTCTTAAGCGTAAAAATTGCGAGGGCATAGGCATATCATAGCACAAGCAGGTCACCTACCCTCGAATTGACTAGTTACGGAAAAGCTCCTGTTTTATTTTTACGCCACCTAGCAGAACCACCTGTCGCTTATCTCGTTGGGTAACATTCTTGTTGCGAAAAAGTGACGAGGAGAAATCAATTTCTACTCGTCACTTTTTCTCTTGAATTCTCTTACCATTTTATCTGAACACTGACTCAATAGATTACTACCAAATATCCAATCGGCCACACGAAAACGCTGCCACTGACTCCTTCGACCAACAGCCCCCTCTTCCTGCCCCTGAGGAAGAGGGGGCTGTAGGTCGAAGGAGTCAGTGGCAGCGTTTTCGAGGCCATCTCAAGTGGAAATTTTTTATGTTCAAGAACTGTTTTGGGTGCTAAAAAGTTGATAATTGGATGGGGCGGGGTCAGGGAAACAGGACTAGTGGGAACCCTGTCCCAGCTAAATTCCGATAACCTGGACCGTGGGGTGTTTCCGACTTGAGGTTTAGCGCTATCATGCAGAACAAAGGCAAAAACTCTTCTAGGTTGCTTTTCTTCGATTGCAAGAGTGAGTTATGAAGCTGATCGGTGTGAATGGTAGCGCGAAGGTAGTACAGCATCTCTTTTGAGATCTGACTAACAATAAGAGCAGTGACCTTTCCTTCTAGTATTGTTCTTAGGCTGCACGAGCCGATTTTCTCTTTCTACGAGACAGACCCCCTCTTGTTGTTGTCATGAAGGTTCCGGCTTCCATCTACCCTTGCAGGTCCTGCAGTCATGAAGGTTCCAGCTTCCATCTACCCTTACAGGTCCTGCAGTAACTCCTTCCGACTGCATGTGAGGGGAAGGCATGGGTAAATTCAGACATGCTTGTGGCGGACGTCGTCGGGCTGTTGGTGCAAAATCGTCGATAAAGAACCTTCCTGAAACCGTGTTTGTGAAGATGTCGAACGACGTTAATCTGATCGCACTTAACAGGAGCTCTGTTAATTCCCTGTTCGTAGTTTCCGTCTTCTTCATCACTTCGCTGAGAAGATCGTCATCGAGAGAAACTGTTCGTCTGGACGAGGTTCGCCGTCGGGCGTCGCATCAACTAGAGCGAAAAGTCAGCGAATAAACACTAACCGTCGCATGACTGGCGATGTCCTCCACGAATGCAGTTAGATGTTGAATTCAAAGGGACGGACACTGGAACTGCGCCGCCATTCGTAGAGGAAGTTGCTCGAAGTTCATCACTCAATGATATGGTTAACAATAGAAGCGCTTGAGGAACTATTTGAGCGTGGTGATAATTCGTAGGAGGCAATTTCCATCGATGCTCGATGCATTTAAATTTTTTTATCAAAATTTTCACATCAACCAGTAATTTCATCAGGCTTCTTTCACGCGGGGTAGAAGAAAAAAATTTCAGGGGAGAGGGGTTCACATAAGGGCCATTCAAGGACCAGGGTTGCTGCACATGGTGCAGCTACACAATGGGATAAGTCTGGGAATGCAATTTGAGGAGTTTAAGACGGAATGGGTTAGTTTAGCACAGTAACTATTCTGAAAGAGTTATGTTCATCATTTTTCGACAGTGACAGTGACAGTGACAGACTTTTCTAAGTTGTTGCGAAGCCCGCATTGCAAAATCTGTTTGAATACATTCACGACTGAGTTGAATATTGTCTTGCAACACATTTCAAAAGGATGATCAAAGGTGCGTTTTCATATTGAATATGTGTTCGTCAGCAATACCCGCTAGAGCGCGGAGTGGCATTCGGTTTTGTGAGTTCATAATGATGCTTAAAAATGTTTTCATCCAGAGGAATATGTTCTTTTTATTATATCAGTAGGGTTAGAGCAAGGGTAGGGTGTGTGTTCAATTTTAACTCAATCCCAGTTTTTGGGCGAGATGATGATCCCACCCGCGGCAGTGCTCAGTGCTCTTCCCTTTCTAAGGTTTAGTTCGCAACTACATTTCCATACCGAAAATCCATCTCTAACAAAAAAAAANCCCCCCCCCCCCCCCCCCCCTAAGCGACAGTGATGAGAAAATGCGAGGGGGTGATTTGGTAGAGGAAGCAGATCGGTTCTTTCTGACCAGGATCACTCTACCGCCTTCTACCATCTTGTTTCCAAACGTCGTCCATCACCCCTATCACTTCATGTTCCTCTTTGTCATACGGTCTTCGACACCCAATTCTTTTTCCATTTCATAGTCCGATTGATTTCTTATGTTCTTTATTTTCATGTAATTCTTGTACTGAAATCAAAATTCTCTTTACGAAAATATTATACATTTTAAATATTGAAAATATTAGGTTTTTTCCTATTCTTTCCTGAATTGCCTTCCCTTGAAGTCTTCAAAAATGTTCCAATATTACCTCGACTGAGCTAATCCATTTTTTGGTCTAAGGGTATTGTGATATTTATGCCGCTTACCCTTCAGGGGTTATTTAATACTCTTGTTTGGTGATTTTCTTTTTGCTACCATTTGAAACTTCGAACTTCTCGTCCTTAATCCGTTTCTGTACAGAGGTTCGAGTCGGCCGAAAGGTCATATATTCAGCTTAACGTTTTGTTAATTAGTTGTGCTGATCAGCAAGATAGTTCTAAACTAGCGACGACTCACAGCAAAAGCACAACAGTAGTCAAATAGTACTGGTAGTATATGTAGTGCGTTCCTCGATTCAACAACCATTTTTTAATGGATCAAATACTTAAGTGATAGATATTCGATCAAATATGTTTGAATGAGTCTGTTTTGGAAGAGTTAATCAGTTTATATGGCTGAGCAAAGTGACGGTCTGACAGTATGACTCTGGCTTGTTAACTATTTCACTAGTATAGAAGCTGCAATCTGTCGTCATGCTCTGAACTTTGCGTGTCAGCAGTCTGTACGGGCGCCTACTTCCATGCGAAGCTTTTGAGCATCTCTCGACTTGAGTGCGAGTCAATCGAGTTGAAGAGGCCGGTCGCCTTCGTCGATAACCGAAACACCTTATCATAGGTTAGCTTGTTTTACATGTATTACGCCTCAAAATTTTTGTGCAGACTTCCATTGCGATGCACATGGCATTGCTGAGGTTTCATTCACTGTAGCATTGGGGATCTAAGAAAATTTTTGACGTTCATTTCTTTTCACATTTGTCGCTTTATGGTGTTTTCCTCAGAGAAATTCGCTGTAAAGTAATTTTTTCGAACAGAGTGAAATGAAAGAAGGTAATATGTGCAAGGAGGCTTTCCAAGTTTTTCACCATTGTGAATAGTCTCTCAGTTCACCGCAGATGTGAAGTTCTCTTAAAGTTCTCTAAGGTCCCAAAAAGAATTTTCGAAACATCTCATGCTACTGTACAAGCAGCAATACTGCTGCTTCCTTTCTTTTTTTTCTCATCTTTCGATTGCTCGAATCTGTGGGGTGTGAAAACTGTACGACCAAGATCGTAATTGTTTCTTCTTTGATGTGAAATGCCTGCACTTTGAGATCATTGTTCGGAACTTTATTATCAATGTTGCTACAAGCTTCACTTTTGAGCTGATTAACATCCCTCTGGCTTCATAGAATGTTTACTGTTGGTACATCTTTTTATATAGCCAGATTTTTTGGGAAGATCAGAACGGAAACTTTTGCATACTATAAAGTTGTTTTTTCTGATACTTGCAGC